TTGCACTTAGAGTTTTAATAATTCTTAAAATAGAGATGAGTGAGTTAGGTAGAGACTTAGCTTTAGCAATACATTTTCAATGTAAAGTATATATATGTTTAATAAAGCATACATACCTAGCCTGACAGAGGGTTTAAAAAAAAAAATAAAATAAAATAACAAGAAATTGAATTAATTATTTTTTGTTACTAAAATTACTCTGTGATATTTTTTTATAGTATGAGGTGATAGTATATTAGTGTTTCTTTCTTTTAAAACTTTTTTGATATTGGTAAGAAGATTGTTATTTAATTTTTTAATTATTTGAAGTTGGATTTTTATTTGAAGAAAAGTATTAACAAAAGAAAAAAAAGTAAAAATAACTCTTGAAGTTTTTTCAAGCTAATTAAAGAAAGTAGAAAAACTATATTATTATAGAAGTATAAAAACTTTTTATAATATTTTTTTTGTATATGGTTAGAAAAATCAATGAGGATTTCTATCTTTTTTAAGATTTTTTCACTATTACAAAGCAAAAAGATTATTAGAAAATCCAATTTTTTAAGTAATGAAAAATATTTATTAGTATAATTTCTTTAACTAGGTATGACTATTGAAATATATTATATTAAAACAATATGGCTCAGTTCCTAATGAATAATGTATGAACCTGAGATCTATTATAAGTTATTTATTTATCATAGATAAAGATAGGCCCTCATTAGGAAACATTAAAATTTTTAAATTAATAACTATAAAAAAATTACTTACAATTATTCTTCATTATTTAAATCATTGATTTATAGTATTTTTTAACTTTTGTCCCTATTAAAGTAAAGAGTTATAAATTTTGTTCTTCAAAAAGAAATATAAGTAATTTGTAAAATTTTATATATTAAATACTTTAGGGATTCATTATTAATAATAGATAAATAAAAAATTATTGTATAAAAAAGTTGGGATCAAGTATATTACTAGAAATAAAGATTTCTATTAAATAATAAGTCTTTTTGGATAGTATATAAGAAAAAAATTAAGATCAAGAATTAATAAGTTCTTTAAACAGTCAAGAGAAGAAAAGATATCTCAATCAGATATTTTTTATTAAGAAAAAGTTTTAAAGAAGCAAATCTTTGAAAAAAGCTGAAGAATTTATTAATATTTTTTTTTTTATTTTCTTATATATTTACTTAAATATTTTTATATATATTCTTTTTTTTTTTTAATCTATTTTTTTGTGATTTCCTGTATTCAAGTAACTTGATAGAATATTTAATAACAACAAACTGCTAACAATGAAATAGTAAACTAAAAAAATCTTTATCTAAAGTCTACTATAGAGTAAAATATTGTTATTAAGGTTAAACTTAGAGATTATTATTACCTATGATAAGTTAATTAGATTGATATTAATGTTTAGTTATAGTATATATTATACTACTTGAATAAAAATATATTATAGATTTAAAAAGTCTTTGAACAAATTATAATACAAATTAAACAAATATAACTTTTCACTTTAGGTTAGATTCAGTACAATATGACTTCTGAATATATATATATAACTTTGTACTTTTTTTACTTTATGTAGCATGGTGAGTTAGTTATTATAATTTTATAAATGAATAAAGTAAAGTATGATTACCATTTAAGATACATAAGCAAAAATTATTTTATACTGGTAAAATAATAATATACAAAATATTAGAAAAATATAACAAAAAATAGATTTTTTGAGATCAACAATATATTACAATCTAAAAAAAATAAAAAATATAAAAGAGTAGTTCACCTGAAATGAAACAATCTGCCATCAAAATAAATTTCATGATTTCATGATTTCTTTGACAACAAATAAAAAGGAATTCTTCAATATCTTCATAATCGTTAATTGCAAAGTTATCAGAAAAAAGTATTAAAGTAATATATGGAATAGTTTATAATTATTTAAAATATCATGAATATAAAAAAAACCAATCAAAAGTGATACTATACTAATTGTGAAGCAAATAAAGAATCGAGTTAAGTGAATACAAGAACATCTTAAAGATAATTAGAGACAAATTATTTTTTTAAATGAAACCTGTTTTCAAATATTTAGAAATATAATTCAACACTGATATATGAACAATAAATGACAATTATGGCAAATTTTGAAAAATCATCAAAAAATTTTTGCTTGAGAAACAATTTGGATAGGAGGTAAAATAGAATTTTATTGTTTTCAACAAATAATGAATAGTTCTTTCTATGTAAGGATTTTAAAAAATATATTCTAGAGATTAAAAAAATATTTGATAGTTACTAATGGTTTTAGCAAGATAATAATTCAAAGTATCAGAGCAAGATAAGGATGAAGTTTCTTAAAGAAGAGGTTGTTTAAATGATTGACTGGCCTTTATATAGTCCTGACTTAAATTCTATAGAAAATATATAGAGAATAATTAAGAACAATATTGAAAAGCAATACCCACAAAATTTGAATGAATTGAATCAATTTATAAAAGAAAAATGAGATTTAATCCCTATTACTTTTATAAATAATTGTATAAAGTTTATGTGTGATTGTTGTAAACATATTATTGATAGAAATAGAGAACATATTTTTTGTTAAATTTTTTTTAATAAGTTCATGACCATTTGATTTTCTATTGATTGTATTTGTATATGATTTGATATAATTGTTATTATATAGTTAGCATATAAAATTGTTCTAAGACTTTTTAGACAATCTGTACTTATATTTTCAATTGATTAATAAACTATGATTTAGCCTGATTGCAGGTACTTAAAAAAGCAATAATAATAAATAAATTTAATAAAAAATATTATATATTGTATAAGAATAAAAAAGATCTTTAAAAATAATTTTCAAGTTGATTTAAAAAAAATAAAAGAATTTTATTAATCAAATATATCAAAACTTTTTTTAAATAATATTTAAACACACATTAAGAAAATCAATAAAAAAAAAAAAATAGGTTTAAATAAATTTTTAAATAAAATTAATCGACTTACCAAATATTAAAAAAAATTTTAAAAAATTTTAAAATCAAAATTTATAATTAATATATTATTTTATTATTTATTTATATAGTGATACCATATGACACATACAGTATCTAGGGTTAGGATTTTAGGGTTCGAGAAACTGGCTTCTATACATTATGTAATATTAGTATATATTGACAAGAGATCACAAATCAAAACCTTGTGATGATCATCTACATCTAACTAACAAATTTGGTTGAATTGCGAAAATTTTATTTAACCTTATTTGATTGAAATAACCATTTTAGCTGAACCTTGATCATGACAAATATTAAACAGCGCATAAACACTATATGCGTCGATCGTTTAGACTTGCCGAGCATAAACGATGAATGTAATTCGCGCGCTCTAATTTTCAGGGTCTTGTCAATTTTTGTTATGTATCTAACCTTTTGACTATCGGAATTTGAAATGTATCATCGAAAAAAAAAACCATTAATGTTTTGTTTCCATTCTAAACCTTATTAACCAATAATTTCAGTATTTTTAATATTAAATCAGATTTTTTTTATTTCTAAGAAATAATGTACAGAAACAATATATTCATATCCAAAAGGAAAATAATAAAGATACATAGACCACCACAACCAAACTAAATTATAATCAAATGAAAGAAAAAATAATACGTACATACATGAATGCATCAATGTATGTAATTAATTCGGTGAGTAATATTTTACCATTTTTTGTTCGAGTAAGAAACAGTAAATACTTTTTTCATATATTGTAATATTTTCTGCCTAATCAAGACACCAGCAGGTAAAATGAAATCATCTAACAACAAAACATATACTACAAATTGGAAGTACAAAATATAATACTATTTATTCAATATAAAATTGAAAGTCGGAATATACCACGTGGATAGAAGTCAATGATTTATGTAGGTCGGAAAGTGAGGAGAAGTGGTCAAACGGAAACGTGGTGGCTAATAATTTTGTAGTAAGCAATAAATGGCAGTGGTGGTCAAAGAAATGTGTGGGTTTGCTCAACCTTTAGGCCTTGATGCTAGAAATAATTGAACATGATGGAGGAAAAAAAAATTCATCTAGTCAGAAAAAGTAAATATAAATTATGTAGCCCAAACAACATTAATAAATAAGATCGTGTGCAAACAAATTAACCTTCTCCATTTGCTGCATTCATCTATTCGGGCCATTATTTGGGCCATTATTTAAGTTGTTATTTGGGTTGTTATTTTGGGTTCGGTATGTCTTACCATGTAAGGCATTCTTCAGAGCACGCATAGCAAATACGGTCAACCCTATGCCTTGCCAATCACCGTCAAGAAGCGCTCGCAAATCACCAACGGTCATCAAGTCCTGTTTTTTTAGTTTCTCTAACCATTCATCTGCTTTTTCATCTCGATTTGTCAGACTGGCAGTATCGCGAACAAGATCATCAATGGACGTATCATCTGAATATTCTAAATGAGATGATTTTAAATCAACATGGTAAAAGTGGATCTGTAATGATCTTGCATAAATTTGGATAACTCGAGAAAATATGGAGTAAATGCGAACCTTTTGCGGAAAGGGTTTCCACCAAAGCATTTTGAATCCATTCAGCTGCCGCTGCCGTCGTTGTCGTCGTAGATATTATCGGTGGCTGTACCAGCGTGGCATCTGGACTATCACTTTCCAAGGAAGGGGCGGAGACTGGAGGTTTAGCGGGTATCAAGTGTGGTGACATTGCTCCCGCATACTGCGACGCAGATGGTGATCCTGGCCATTGTGTTTTGTGTTCCTCTCGGTTATCATCTTCTATTGCCTGCTTATTTATTTCTCTTAAAATTCGATTTATCTCATGGGTAATAAGTTGCTGATAGTTGTCCGGAAGGACCTGCTCTTCTATCTAATAAATCGAGGTTGAAATTAATGAAAATCATTTGATGAGTTTGCAAAAAACGATAAGACCAATACCATTTCCTTTACGACTTCTTCTGCTGTATCTTTTTCCACATTGAATTCAAATTTTACCGACAACTTGTCCATTCCTTTGAAAACAACTTGCAAGGTCAGTTGAGTTTTTGTCTCATCAGCAGTCATTAACACTACTTCGGGTTCCACGGTGAGAAAAGGATGTGCCACTATCTGCTGAGCAGTGTACCTTCATGTAATAGACGTATAATAATAGTGCATTAGTATTAATAGCAGATGAAAATTCTGTTCTCTTATGGAAATAAACTAATCAACCTTTCATTTTCAGGAGCCAGGCAATGGTTTATTAAGTCCAAGATTTCCGGATCTTGAACCTGTTTCAAACTTTCTGGCTTTATTCCCTGTGAAAAATTGAAATTTCGTCAAAAGTTCAGACATTACGTAGAAGTAAGAAAAAAAAAAATAAATAAATAAATAAAAATAAAATAAAAAAAAATAATAATTTTTTTATTTTTGTTTTTTTTTTTTATAAAATAATATGCAAAATTCTCGGGTAAATAAACGATGGAAAGAAATTAGTTACCGAGGTGACTTTCTTATAAATTTGAGCTGCATTCTTACATTCATTATACGGATATTCGCCAGTCACCATTTCAAGAAGACACATTCCAAATGCATATATATCCACCTTTTCGTTGTACCCCTTTTCTTCATACATTTCTGGGGCCATAAATTCAGGAGTCCCTACATAAGTATCATAAAATTGCGAATAAAAAATTTTTTTCGCAAAGATCATTTAGATCGCCGGGTGAACTTAAAATCACGATAGCAACCCTAGCTGGGATGATGTTATTGCATACCGATAACGGTATACTTTTTTCCTAACTTCATCTTTGCGGTCCCCATATCGCCAATTTTTACTTCACCATGAGCTCCATTGATGAAGATATTATCACACTTAATATCACGATGAATGATTGGAGGGTTGTGTGAGTGAAGGTATATAAGGCCTTTGAGGATTTGACGAGACCATCTTTTTACTATTTTCATTTTTGGTAATGAGAGTTTACGAATGTACCTAAATAATAATTAACATAGGAAAATTATTAATTTTCTATTTTTACACGTACATTCATGATAATCATAGCAGACTTACTCTCTCAAGGTTCCAGAAGTCATCAATTCCGTAACAAATATGAATTCTGTATCTTTATACCAGCAATCATGAAAATTGATGATGTTAGAATGTCGAACTTGTTTCAAAATTTTTATCTCCTGATTAAGATCATTGAATTCAGCCGTCGTTGTCTATTGATGTGAAAATTACTTATTTCCCGCTTTAATATATTGACGAAAAAAGTAAAAAATATAAGAATAGAATGTTCATATCCTTACCTGACAGCAGTTCCACGCGACTTCATAGCCTTCTTCGCGATCTATGGCCTTATATACGACCTTGTATGCACCTTTACCCAAAATTGTATTTAACTAAATTTAAAACCAATATGACCAAATTTAATAATAGCAACAAAATATACAAGACGAAACTGCAAAAAACTGCTTTTCCCAACATAATGTTTACTAATATCGGGTTGGCTCCTACTTACCTTGGCATATCTGTGATTAGGACTCTCCTCAATCACTGATTCTCGATCGTGTTTACGTGCATCGTGCTCATTCATGTACGAGACATAGTTATCAACGACGAGGTCAATGTGCTGGTTCGATGGCTGAATTCTAGCAAAGGTTTCAAAATCGTTACCAAGCCCTGTTACGATTTCGCCGGTTCTTCCATTAGTGTATTGAGTTTCGTCGTGAGGAGTGTCTCCATTATTTTCGGGATGATGGTCCGCCATTAGAAAACTGTTCTCTTGCAATATTTGAATACTGCTATTAAGAGACGAAGGGTATAAAGCACAGATATTAGTATTAGTCGTTACGACTAGGTCAGACGTTTGCCCTTTGGAAAAAATTGAAAAGCATCTAAAAATATCGTTTGGATCTACCTCAAAACCTCTACGCTAGTTTTACAATTTTTACTAATATGTACATTTATAACATACGTAATACAGTCAGCCAGTTTGCCACATGAATAAGTAAAAAAGGCCCAGTTTTATTACGTAAAAATTGATGAAGCGATTAATGTTATCGGATTGGGGAGCCGAAATTTTTGTTTTTGTTGGCCACTTGGATATTTTGTGTCCTTACTAAATTCGTAATTCTAGAATGTCCTAAAATTTTAATACATCATTCATATATACGTAACCCTAATCTTCTTTGTATGAAGAAAATTAAAAATAAATCATTTATTGCCAAGATTTTCTGCAATTTGTTCTTTACGCATTGCATTAACACAAGTTTCTTTAAATGCAAGACCGCGGTAACTGCAAACGATTTTCAGGTACCTACCATAATTATACACGTACGAGCGTAAGACATTATTTTTTTATATTACAATAGTATTCGAACGTAGATTTCGGTTATTACCACTTTTAGATAAAGAGGAATGACAATTGTGCCAGTTTTAATCTCAGATAAATTCTTTGAATATAGCATCTCATACTTAAAAGAAATACAGTAAATACGATTTTTATTATAAATACAAAGAATTATATGCAATTACCAAAAAAATAATTAAAGATCAAAAACAAAATAAATTTTTCTAACCGACTAATTCGTAAGTATTATAGACATAAACTTATTTGATTTTTTTTAAGCCTGACTGATAGCGTGCATTTATTATGTCTAGATTTCTTAGTACAAAATATCAAGTATTGTATACACATATGATCTAAGCTAAACTAAATTTTCTATTAACAAACTTATTTTAAGTTGAAATCTCTAAGTTGAATCATGGAAACAATATGGCACTCTATAAGTACTTTAGGTAAAAAACTTTTCTAATAACTCATATCATTGCTAGTCAATTGTCAAAATAGTTTGTTTTCTATAATACTGAAAAAAATAAGAAATTATATTAGAAAAAAAATAAAATTACATAAATAGATTGATTGTATATATACTTTTTAGAATCTCTTCTCAATAGACTAATATTCTTATTAAAAAATATTTTTTTTTTTTATTTATTTGAGAAACTTATTTATATTTGATTTTATATACTATATAGTATATTATTTTAAAAAAACTTTTTATTTATTAGAAATTTTATTTAAGAATATATTTAATTTCAACTTACTTTGAAAATAATTTTATATTTATTTGTAATAGATAAATAATTTATAAAGAATCTTAGATTTTAAAAAACTCTTTTTATTAATTCTTTAATCTCAATACAAAAAAGATATTTATTGAAGGTTAACTAATAAAATTTTATTTCTATTTTAACAATAGAAAGAATATAATTAAGGATTATTATTATATTTCATTTTTTTATTTATAAAATTTTTTAATCAA